TCTACAGATTTCATGTGAATGGAATGTTATACAGGCAGTCCCTAGGTTATGAACCGAATTTACGTAGAACCCCTAGAACCAACCCTCAGTTACGAACCAACCCCGTAAAGCGTATTAAAAATTCGAGGTACATACAATGGTTCGTAATAACAAACGCGCGCCACTTTGTCACGCATCAAAACATTATTATTACTGTATTAGTATGTTAAAGATGTTTTAGAGTATCTGAAAGTATTTCTTTCATGTTTTTATGCATAGAAAGGTACAGTATATAGTGTATGCTAAGACATTTGACTTACCGACATTAGATAGGAACCGTACCTAACTGTCCAGACTTAATGTACAAATTCGACTTAAAGGGAGATTTAGGAACGGAACGCCTTTGTAATTTGGAGACTGCCTATAGTATACGGTCTTTTGTGACTGGCTTCTTAGCCTCATGTTCTCCAGGTTCACTCATGTTGTAGCATGAGTCAGTACTTCAGTTCTTTTTTATGGCTACGTAGTATTCCATTGTATGGATAGAGGACATTATGTTTATCCATTCGTTTGATGGGCTATGGGGTTGTTTCAGCCTTTTGGCTATTGTGACTAATGCTGCTGTCTGTGAACATGTATGTACAAGTTTCTGTGTGGACATATGTTTTCATACTTTGGGAGTATATACTTAGAAGTGGAAATGCTGGGTCATATGGTAACTATGTTTAATCATTTGAGGGACTGCTGGACTGTTTTTCAAAGCATCTGGTCCATTTTACATTCCCACCAGCATCAACCGCTCTTTTAAAGCGATGTCAAGATAACCAAATACTAGCACAATCTCTTGGAACTGACTGTTTTGGACAGAGAAGTTGAGGTTGTAAATTAAGGTGTTGATTTCGGAAACTGGGAGAACTAGGATTTGCTGACATTCTGCCAGTGTTCCTACACTTTTTCCTCTCACCTGTGTCTCAACCAGTAGTTAAGTATTTAAATAAGGAAAGAGAGAGAGATGAAGATGTCACCTCACTTCTCACGAAGACCTAAAACTGTTCTGTTCCTTTTTAACAAACTTGCTTATATATCGTATGTCAGATTAAAGCACGCACACAAAACCATACCACTCCCTTCTCAGACTGAAACAATACATTAGCTTCCTGTTGCCAGTGAGTCGATTCCGACTCACGGCAACCCTGTAGACCCTGTAGGGTTTCCAAGGCTGTAATCTTTATGGAAGCAGATCGCCAGGTCTTTCTTCTGCAGAGTGGCTGGTGGGTTCGAACTGCTGACCGTTTGGTTAATGGGAGCACATAACCACTGCGCTACCAGGGCTCCTTATATTAGCTTACATCCTCATTTTTCTTGCTTCAAGCACTGTTCAGATAATGTAATTTAACTTCTTCTCCAGGACAGTCCTGGGATTTCTTCTTTGGAAAAATGCAAAGAAAGCCTTTCATTTGCCATGTCAGGGCAGCAGCTGAGCTTCATAAGAAAATAAAATATTCTAGTAATCTGGGCACCAAGAAATTAAAAACCCACTGGTGGTACAAAGCCATAGTTCTCTCTCATTAGAAAGCCGGAGAGTCCCTGATGGAGCATGAAAAAAGTGGGGTACAGAATTCAAATTCTAGTAAAAAGACCAGACTTAATGGTCTGACTGAGACTGTAGGATCCCCAGAATGCATGGCCCCCAGTCTCTCTGTCAACCCAGAACTAAAACCATTCCCGAGGCCAACTCTTCAGACAAAGATTAGACTGGACTATAGGACGTAAAATTATACTCGTGAAGAGTGTGCTTCTTAGCTCAAGTACATACAAGAGTCTAAATGGGCAGCTTCTGTCCAGAGGTGAAATGAGAAGGCAGAGAGGGTCAGGAGCTGGTTGAATGGACATGGGAAATCAGGGCTGGAAAGGAGGAGTGTGCTGTCACAGTACAGGGAGAGCAATTAGGATCACATAATAA